ATTTTTTAACAGAATTTAGATCCAACTCCCAACGAGACAATGAGAATAAGACCGCAATACATGGTTGGCAAGAGTGCAGTGATGATTCAGAATTTCAAAAGTTTAAATAGATGAGTCAGCATGTCTGTACCTTTGCAATGTACAATCATGACATGTCTCACCAGATTGAAACTCGTCACTACTATTCCCATCTCACCTATCATGTGTGTCCCTTTGGCATTCTCATGCTTATGACGTTTTTTCAAGCTTTAACTAACAAGACTACAAGTTATACTTTTGTTGAATTCATCTAGTTAGCACATACATATCATATTTAAGATGTGACTATATATGCAATCGACTCAAAAACAAACATATTTAGCCCTCAAGTTCCACCTCAACAAACTCACACAATACAACTCACTCAACAACAACAATCATGCTTTAGTTCTCAATTTTCACAACTATCATACACTAACCCTTCTCATTCTTATCGATATATGCAACCACCATAACAACACTCATACATTAATTCATAATTTTTAGAGCAACCAACTCATCAATTCAATTACTTTCAAATATCTCAACAACAATTTTCGTTTAATTTATTTCAACTATTTACTCCAATTCTACCACCTAACTTCAACTTTTAGAATCCCTCATTTCCCAACTTCTAACAATGCATTCCCACAAACAGACTTTTTCTATCCAAAATTAAAACCTCATCAATTTTGACAACTCACCCTATTAGAAATACTCCATTTTTCAGTAAAAAAAATATACGGATATATACTTGTGGATTTTGCTACGATTTTAATAAATAAAATATATTTTCCTGCCTAAAAATACTTATAGGTAAATCTCAAAGATATACCTTTTGTTTTTCTGGCTACTTGTGCAATAGATAAAATATTTCTATGATATTGTATTCGGCAACAAATTCTTCAAAAATTACATCTTTAACTTGAATAAAACTGCATTTCAAAGTGTTAGGGAAAATATGTAGATTTTCTATGTAAAATTCTTTAAATATAAAATATAAATCTTTTTCTTTCAAAATAAAACAATTTTTGGTAAAAAAAAATTAATAGATTTAAATATTTCCAAAAAATAATAATAGACTTTTGTTTAAATTTTATTAAAATTATTTTTTATTCATATTATATTTTGAAGTTTAAATTTATTTTTTAAAGATAATTTTAGTACATATTAGTCTTCATAAATACATATTTTCCAAGATTTAATAATTATTGCAAAAAAAAATGAAAAATACTTATAAAATTATAATTATATTTTTAATCCTACTTATTCTATTTTAATATTTTTTTGGTGAATTAAAATATTTTTGGTTATATTTTTTCAAGCAAGAAATTGGGCGAGGGGTTGAAATTATCGTAAAGTAAAGACCGACTACTGTATTAGATTTTTCAAAGAACTGAAAATAAGAGTGCTCAAAAGTTTATTCGGTCACGGAAGATTGAAATGTCAAATGGCTTTGAGAAAGGTTTTAAAAAGCTCTAAAAAAACAATGTCAAATGGCTTTGAGAAAGCATTTCTAGGTTGCATTCCTAAAAAAAATTTGAAATTAGATGGGATAAAGATGGATCTACAGTAAAAATTTGTTATTTTGTTGACATTTTGTATTCATTCTAGTAATTGTTGTTGGATTTGGATACATGCAATATATAAAATTTTGAGTTTTCTAAATTTATTAGTGCACACTTATGTTGTTGACCTTTTGTATTTATTCTAGTAATTATTGGATACATTCAAGATGTATATATATAAAATTTTGAGTGTTGAATCTGAATAGTTGATATTTCTGAAATATTAGAATGAACGCCCTGGCTATAGTATATATAATATAACCTTAGGATAATATTTCCACTTTAGGACAATTAAGCAATCAAATCATGAATAAAGCTCTTTCTCATTCACCACTCTTCGATCATCATTAACCTAGTTATAAAACCAACAATTTTATTTCCAGATATATGCGTTATCATTTTGATCTGCTGAGTTTTGAATTAACTATAGATGTAGGCTGAAGGAGAGCATGGTGAAAAGCTCCGTCAAGTTAAAGCTGTTCTCGAAGAGGTAGTTAATTTTTTTCGACTAATTTTTAATATTATTCATGAATTTATTTAGTACTAATAACCTGGTTTTAATTATTGATGAGTTTATTTAGTACTAATAACCTGATTTTAATATTGACCTCTGTGAAGATTTGATTTTTATAGAACACTATGGCATTGCTTGTTCTGTATATCGATCCCACTTAGTGAATACAAGATTTGGTTGTTTCTTCTGTGCGTTTATCTAGATGCAAAAACAGTTACTCTGGTAAACACTAGTAATTCAGAAAGAGGAAGATAATATTCTTGATTGTACTTTCAAATCATAAATAATTATAGCCATTATTTTTTGTTTTCTCATAATTTTAAATCATAAAGTTTTGGAGATGTTTCATAGGATTTTTCCATCTGAATATCAGGGAGGACATTTCTCTCGCATATATAGAAAAGTTCAACTAAAGCCACTAAAGTGGATCAAAGTGGCCAAAAGCAATGGTGAAGGTGAGGAAGAGAGACCTGTTGAAGCTCTGATGGTTCTTAAATATGGTGGCGTTCTTACACATGCTGGCAGAAAACAGGTTAAGATTATTAACAAAACAATAGTTCTGCTCAGCTTGAGTTTGATTTTATTGTTACCATTGTTGCTAAGATAAATTTATGCTCTTAATTATAGCCTTCTTTTCAGATGCGTTGAAAATGTTCTTTTTTATTTTATTTTTGCAGGCAGAAGAACTTGGAAGATATTTCCGGAATAATATGTATCCAGGTAATTGAAATATATTTTCATTTTGCATCAAATGTCTAAACTTTAATGGTTCTATTTTAAACTAAAAAGCATTCATCACATTACCAGAGGTTTTTTCCCTTTGATTTCACATTTTCTTGTTTAATATTTGATTATTTTTGAGACTCTTCTTTCAAATCTGCATGCTGGATACCTGAATGCGTGATTTCAAAGAGATTCTTAGAATTTGGGTTGGGCCTAACTCATCCCTACAACTGTTTCATCAGTGCTTCTTATGTTTTAGTCGCCACAACTGTTTCAGAGATGATCTTTCTCTCATTATAATACTGACATGGTAGTGGACTGTAATATCTATAGAAAAGGTAAATCAAATTCTTTACAATTGCAGGAGAAGGTACTGGCATGCTTCGCCTCCATAGTACATATCGTCATGATCTTAAGATTTACAGCTCTGACGAGGGTCGTGTGCAGGTATGGGCTAAATTTCTCTAACCTTCCCAATATCAAAATAAGGCCTAAATTGTTTATTTTTAGTTTATCCACTTGTTATTTAATTATTTGTTCGATACCTAGACTTTGTTGCTACTTGCACAATCTGTCTTAAAGAACATCATCTGAAAGGTCTTCTTGACAATGCCTTGGTATATGTTGTCAGATGTCTGCGGCTGCATTTGCCAAAGGCCTTCTTGATCTTGAAGGGCTGCTAACTCCAATCCTGGTTTTGTTTTTCTCCTGAATAAAGTATTTGATCTTGTTCTCTGTTTTGGACTTAGTTTAACTGAAATTTCATCTCAGGTTTCCCTTGTTAGCAAAGATTCCTCTATGTTAGATGGGCTTGACAATGCTAGTATTGAAATGGAAGAAGCCAAGGTTTGTGATTTTATAATGACTTATAGTCCTTTTTCTACCATAAAGGCTTCGCAATAATAATGATAAATTGAGTGTTGTTTCTGCTCGAACATTCTGCAGGCCCGGCTGAATGAAATTATTACCTCTAATTAAAAGACCATTCATAGCGATGAATCGCCTGAATTTTCTTGGATGGTTGATGGAGCTGGATTGCCATCCAATGCATCAGAGTTGCTTCCAAAGTTGGTATGTTTTGTAACATAGCTACACATCATTGTGCCTTTGATCCCTTCATGATTAAGAGGGGAAGCTAAAATTCTCTTTTTTTAAATTGAAGAAAGTTATCTAGATCTCTTATGAAAGTCATTAAATACTTGGTATATGCTGACAAGTGTCTGCTGCCTTATGAAGATTCTAGTATTTAATTTCATTTTAGGTTCATCTAGTCTTGCTACATAAAAATTGTGTGAAAGTGATAGTCTTAATTCTTATTGAGACTTAAGAGATAGCATCTCAATCAAGTATGCTATTATCTACACCATATCTATCTGCAACGGAAAAGAATAGTTGTGATAAATGATTCATTATGTTTAAAGCGCACAATAGTGTGTAAAGTAGCCTTCTAAACAAGCAAACTGAATTGAAACTTGAAGAGTCTGCATAATACATAAATCCTTCTTATATGCAGACATATTTTAAGATCACAAATATGTCAGAAAATAATTGATTTAGTTGGAATTATCAAATTTGAATAGATTAATGATTGGTAGGGCAGGTTTATTTTTCATTTTACATGATCATGCTGATCTTATGTCAATATTCAGATCATGTCATATTCCGCCTGTCGGAAATCTGTTTATTTGCTGTTGTCTGAGTTTACTAATCAACACAGGATAGTGTTTTCACGATAAAGGTTAGTTACATACATGATCAAAAAGAAGGCTGTCACATTCACATTATAATTTTTAAAAACTAGATATGTGAAGTTAAAATTTATTACAGACCCCGTGATTTAGTTATGGACGCTTTATGTTTATTGCTTGACGCATTTACGACCATTTTATTATGCAAATATATCATTAAATTATCTCATCTAATTTACTTTTCTTGCCTAACCACTGCAAGATAGAACCTTTAGTTTTACCTTGTATCATGTCAACAACATATTATTTTGCTATTGGAGCTCTAACTTTCCTTCCGTTTATTAAATTGCTTTCAGTTTTTTCTAGTTTCTCTTTCACATTAGCTTTTTCCTTTGTTAATTTTTTAACAAAACTATCAGCACTCCTATTCCTATATCATACATGTATAGTCATTATACCTTCATTTTTCTTGTTACGTGTGTTAATGTGATGGCTGACACTCAAATGGTGTATTACTTGCACAGACGGTTTGACATCACACAGATTCCGGACGTCTATGATTCATGCAAGTAAGTTATCTCTTTCATTAGATTTTAAGATTTAGTATTTCAAAAGCGTATAGGTAGTATTTGAGTTGTGACTGGGCTTTAAGATTTAAAAGATCTTTACAGTTGATTGGTGGAAATTTACCTGCCTATGGTGTTATCAGCCAAACACTTAAAACCAAATCTTATTTATGTGAGTGTGTAACAAATATGCATTAATGTTTAACCATTCTTCAATATCACAAATTTGAAAAATAAATTGGCAACTTCATTTAATAAGTTATGTAGCTTCTTTTATTCCTTTCTTATGAGAAGTCCAAATTTACTTGCACATTACAGATATGATCTCTTGCACAATGCACATCTTAATCTAGAAGGATTGGATGAACTCTTCAAAGTTGCTCAGGTATGTTACATTAGGAAAATCCATTCTCAGCTAAAACTGATTAAACCAGTGAAAGATAAACATTTCTTATAAAATTATGAATACTGTATTTATGTAAGTATTTTGAATTAAACATTGTTTTTTAAAAACAAAGACAATCAGGTATTATTACCTTGTAGAAATGAATCACAAACATATGATATTTGTTTGTATATTACATAACATTTATTGATGAGTTCTATTTGTTCACTTTCCTTGGCGCATCTCCTTATTTGCAGGCACTTGCTGATGGTGTAATACCAAATGAATACGGATACCTTGCATTGGGCTAGAGTGTCAGGCCCACCACAAGTAACTGTTAGGGTCTCCGTGGCGTAGGGAAGACCGGCACGTGGTCTTCACCCTAGTCCAACTGCCCGTGATTTTCGGAAGGTGGAAGACCGATTCTTTGGACACGTATAGTTTCCTGATGACGTGTCCCCGCGTGGGGAACACATGGAGAACGGGGGAAGACGCGAAGGCTCTTCCCGTGCTAGGTAGTGGTCTGCCCGACTGCCCAGAGTACTGAGCATGCCCGATGGGAGGGAGGATTAGGCCTTGCTAGGCCTTCAATGTAGTATTAGGTTGGGTCTACCCGACTGTGGGGCAGGTACTGGCCCAGTCCAAAACACATTATGTGCATTACAAACATCAAAACAAGATGCAAACTACAAACATTAAGCAGAAGTCTTAGGGGTTAGAGACCTCTTGGCCTCTGCATCCAAAATACAAAAATCAAATAAAAAACAAATAAAAAAACATATTAGTCATATCTTCGACTGTTGATATCAGAACCGCCGCGTGGAAATTTTTTTACACAATTTTTTTATCAAAATCAGAAATAACAGATCTAAAAATAACAAATAAAAATAACATCTCAGATCTAAAATTACAAACCACAACTTATGTTTTCAAAAACATTATCGATGTTATTTAATTACCCGTTTTTGTGTTCTTATCGATAGATCTACAACCTGCAAAAATAAAAGAAGTGAAAAAGATGTTAAAAACATAAAAAAGAGAAAACAAAAGTTGTGCTCAATGTTACATTTTTAAATTTGTTTTACTGCCAGTTTTCATCATCGTATTAATATATCTACAATTTAAAAAAACAACAAAAATGAGAACACCGAAAATGAAATTATAAAAGTAAAAATTTGATGAAGATAAAAAAAAGATATATAAATGGATGAAAAAAATAATTAAAATTGAAGAAGAAAGAAATAAAGAGGCAATGAGAGAGAAGCAGACATCAAAGAGAAAGAAGAAAATGTGGTTTGTAACCTATCATAGTGCCCATCAATAATCTGTCATATGTTGTTATCTGCATCACTACACACACAATACAAAAACAAGAAAGGCAACTTTAGCTAAAAGGCAGCCATGTCAAATTTATATGTTGAAAAAATCAGCGAAATAACAACAGCAACACAGACATTCGATATGCTTTCCCAAGCCTCATCGAATTTATGGTTTTACCTTACATTATCGCTTAGGCAGCCCTTTTGCCTTTATCTCCTTCTGAACCTACATGTTGTCGTTCTTCATTTCCTGCTTCTTGTTTCTCAACATCATCTGTTTTAGCCTCTTCACCTATTCCTTGGCCTTTAGCTTCACAACTTTCAGGTACAGATACTTCCCCTCTTTCCTGACCGATTTGGACCTCTTCCTCATAACGTCTTTTCTTGTTACCCTTTTTTAACATTCGAGTCTCTTTCAACTCGAGAACATCGAGTTCCTGTTAAGAAACAAGATACATGTATAGAGTAAGGTTTAAAGGAAAGAATTATATAGCCTTACATCAATTACAGTAATCAGAAGAAAAAAACCACCATGTAACAAGTCCTACAAATATGGGTACTAGAAAACTAAAACTGACAGACCAATTGAATAAGTCTTTTATTAACAGAAAATGAAACCACCCACTTACCCACTAACAATTAGCACTACATGCTAATTTATATCCTCAACATCCTCCCTTAAACTGCAATTTCTCATTTTAATTTCTGGTTTGCAGTTTACTTCAATTTCAGAGCAAACACCAAGGGACTTTCGCAACTTCAAGAATACTCCCAGCTTCAATGATTCGGTCATAAAATCTGCTAATTATTCTTGACTAGCACAATAAATAAAATCTATAACTCCTTCTTTGGACATCTCACGAAGAAAATGAAATCTGGCATCGATATGTTTACTGCGACCATGCAAACCTGGGTCTTTAGACAACTTAAAGTAGAATTGTTGTCGCAGTTAATCAATATTCTTTTATTTTCAAAAACCTGATTTAACTTTGCTCGTATCCTTTGTAACCACACTGCTTGACAAGCACAAGAGGTAACAACTATAAATTCAGCTTCTGTGATGAATAAGCTAGCTACAGGTTATTTCTTTGAGCACCATAAAACTGATCCAAAGCTAAGCATGAAAACATAGCCATAAGTGTTTTTTCGATCATCTTTGTCACCTACATAATTGTTGTTTGTGTCTGCTACAAGTTCATTTTCTCCACCCGTAAAGAATTCCAAAATCAGCACTTTCTTTTAAATAACGTAATACCCGTTTTGCTACCTACATATGTTTTGCCGAAGGATTTTCCATGTAAGACTAAGGAGACACACAACATATGCCAAATCAGGTCGTGTAGCAGTTGTTAGATACATGAGGTATCCAATAAGTTGCTTATAGTGGGACTTGATCACCCTCTCATCATTGCCAATTTCTTTTGAGATATTTGTTCCTGATACTATAAGATTTGTTGTGTGGGTCACCAAAATAAGTGAGCTCACTTAATCTTAATATTATTATTATTATTACTAAAAGAGAAAAAAAAAAGGGAATTAGCTTTGTGGGCCCACTTAATCTTAATATTATTATTATTTATTATTATTAAAAGAGAAGAGAATAAACAAGGGAATTAGGTTTGTGGGCCAAAGCCCATGAAATGGTTAAAGGGTTTTAACCCTTGTGTGTTAGATATAACAGGAGCAAGGGGAAGAGAGCTGAAAGGTGAGCGACTCTACCGACAGAGAGAAGAATATCAAAGAGTGTCTCTTTATTGTTGTATCGTAGAACCCGTTGAGGGGTTAGTTGATTTGATATCCACCTTGTATGGTGAAGATTATATTTGCTTTGTTGATCCCTGATGGTTCCCGGGGAGGACTTGTGGCGTACCCATTAATTTATTAGTGGAAGATTTACTGGCTTGGTCCCATGGGTTGTTTTCCCTTTAAGGGTTTTTTCCCACGTTAATAATTCTGGTGTCTCCTTATTTTATTTGCTCTATTTTGTGCTTATTATTGTTGTTTGAGCAATTTTGTTTGGAGCTTATTTTTAATTGCACGCAGGGGAAAAGTTGATCCAACAGCTTCCGCATTTTATTACTATCTTCTACATTTGTTTTCTTTCCAACAGTGGTATCAGAGCTCCTTGGTTGGAGTTCTGTTTGGTGCTATTAAAATGGGTGAAGGTGATATGGCTGGTACTATGCTAAAATTGGATTCTTCCAATTATTCTATTTGGAAATCCCGGATGGAAGACTTGTTGTTCTGTAAGGACTTGTATGATCCCATTGACGGAGACGGTACTAAGCCAAATGATAAATCTGTTGCAGAATGGACAAAGGCAAACAGAAAAACAATTGGCATGATCAGGCAATGGATAGATCAGAGCATTTATCATCATGTGTCTAGTGAGACTAGTGTCCACAGTCTGTGGAAGAAATTGAAGGACATGTTTGAGTCCAAGAATGCACAGAACAAGGTATTTTTGTTTCGGAGACTGGTTAATCTGAAATACAGAGATGGTTCTTCAGTGGCAGAGCATATGAGCAGTTTTTAGAATCTTGTGAATCAGCTGACTACTATTGAGATTAAACATCCTGGTGAGCTACTTGCTTTGTTGTTGCTTAGCTCATTGCCAGACAGTTGGGAAACATTTGTGGTATCTCTGAGCAATTCCACTAATGGCAATATGACTTTTGATACTGTGAAAGAAGCCCTATTGAATGAAGAAATCAGGAGGAAGGGAAACAATACGGCTAGTTCATCGACTCACACAGAAGCCTTGGTTGTTAAGTCACGGGGGAGAAGCCAACATAAAACCTCTCATAAATCTAATGACATAAGCAAGTCAACAAGACAGTCCAGAGGTCAGTCAAGGCCCAGGAAAGACATCAGGTGCTATCATTGCAACAAAGCAGGTCATATGATAAGAGAATGCAGGTTGCTTAAGAGGGAGAAATCAAGGGAAAGAGGCAATGATAATAAAGAAGATAAAGACACAACTGCAGTTGTATCTGATGGTGAAGTTGTTGTTGTTTATGAAGATGATTCAGTTAATCTCGCATGCCAAGATTATGAATGGGTTGTTGATTCTGCTGCCTCATTTCATGTTACTCCTCATCGTGAGTATTTTTCATCCTATAGTGCTGGAGATTTTGGGCAGGTAAAGATGGGTAATCAAGGGGTAAGCAAGGTTGCTGGCATTGGAGATATCTGGGTAGAAACTAATGTTGGATGCAAGTTGCACTTGAAGAATGTTAGGCATATTCTTGATATGCGCCTCAGTTTGATTTCAGTACAGGTACTTGATGATGATGGTTACCATAACTCCTTTGGCGATGGTAAATGGAAGTGCACCAAGGGTACTTTGGTGGTAGAAAAAGGAGTGAAGAGAAACACCATTTACTGGACTTCTACTAAATTGTGTGCCCCTCAAGTGAATGCAATTGAGGATTATTCTACAGAGCTATGCCATAAGCGGCTCGGTCACTTGAGTGAGAAGGGACTTGACACTCTTGTAAGGAAAAATCTGCTTTCGGTGAAAGGTACATCTCTGAAAACTTGCTCTGAATGTATTGTTGGTAAACAACATAGAGTTTCTTTCCGCACTCAGCCTCCTCACAGGAGGTCACATATCTTGGATTTAGTTCAAATTGATGTTTGCTCTATGGATGTTAAATCCCCTAGTGGCTATTCTTATTTTGTGACATTTATTGACGATCACTCGAGAAAAGTGTGAGCTTTTGTTTTGAAATCCAAAGATCAGGTACTTGATATGTTCAAAAACTTCCATGCAAGTGTGGAAAGAGAAACAGGAAAAATGTTGAAGTGTGTCAGAGCAAATAATGGTGGTGAATACAGGGGGCCATTTGAGCATTATTGCAGGGAACATGGAATCAGGCTTGAGAAGACAGTTCCAAAGACTCCACAGCACAACGGAGTTGCAGAGAGAATGAACCGCATAATTAATGACAGAATTAGATGCATGCTCTCTCATGCAAAATTGTCTAAAT